CGGGTGTTTTATTTTGGAATCGCTGCAAGCCCTCAGGCACCTATGGCAGTTTTCGATGGGTAGCCAGTAGGATTATGCATTATAAATAAGGAATTTTCATTTAGCAGTTTAATTAAAATTAGAGCAAAGGGAATGCTCATTTCCAGCACGATTACCAGATTTGAAGGTCTCATCCTAATCAAGTTTGCTTTCCTAAGGTCTGTTTCTGCTAATCGTCAGCACAGCAGAGTGTGTCTGGCAACATTTCTCACTGTGCCCACCAGCCAGTCCTGCCTGCCACTGGTGACATTTGAGCAATTGCAAACAAAATTTGACTTAGGCTTAGACAAAGATTCAACAGATAAATTAACAGGCAAAACTAGTTGATGCTGGAGAAGTATTTTGGATGCTTATGGTAGCATCAAAATACTAAACTGCTCATTTGTACTATTTTGGGGGACAGTTTTTTTAATAAACTTTTACAGTACTTTTATTAAGAATAGTTTCCAGATGAAAGCTTTTCTTTCTATTGCTCAGAAATGAAATTCTTAGTGATACATTCCAGTGGCTTTGAAAATGGTCAGCAGTATCTCAAACAAAAAAACCTTCTAAATGAGGAGTAAATATCCCAAGCAGTCACACTCTAATTCACAGAATTTTCTGTATGGTCTTCAGTAGTGTAAAACTAGAGAAAATGGAAAATAACTCTATATGGAAAGTCTTGTCTTAAGTGAGATTTGCTATCTTATAGCTGGTCTTTGTTTTTCTGGAAAGTAAATATAATTATAGACAGTACATTTACTTTCTGGTGTAATCAGCAATAGTGAGAACTATACAGAATATGAGAGATGGGAAGTTGACACATGCTGAAGACCTAACCGGCTTTAATTTGGATTTTGGTAATTTGATTCTAATTAATTCTAAAGTAAAAAGACTATAATGTATAAAAATGCTATTTTAAGTGTAATTATTTTGTAATGGAATTGCTTTCTAGGTTATATCTTGCTGCAATATGTGGCAATTCATTTAAAGTAATAAGTACTCATAAAGTCTCATATTTATCTCAGGCTGAGCTAAATGCCACCAGTATTTGTGTGTAAATGCAGAGTGCTAATACTATTATGTCAAAGAAGTGACATTTAAAACAATCTGGTAAGAGATTTTAGTTCTTGTGATTTAGCCTGGAAAAAACCATTTACCTTTATTTCATGTTGTTTCAAGACCACGATCTCGCTCAAGGGACAGTGGTGATGAAAATGAACCAATTCAGGAACGATTCTTCCGGCCTCATTTCCTGCAGGCTCCTGGAGACCTGACTGTGCAAGAAGGCAAACTCTGCCGAATGGACTGCAAGGCAAGTGCCAAGCGAGGGCTGGCAGCCGCCTGCCGCCCAACAAGTTAGATAATTGTGGGGGTTGTTGTTGTTGTGTTGTTTTGTTTCTTTTGTTTCCCAGAAATTTAAGATATTGGTAATTACAGTGACTGTCAATAGGTTAATTAATCTCACTGCTTATCAGTAAGTTGGCAATAAGAAGCTCTCCTATAGCAAAAGTGTTTCTGGCAAGTCCTGCAGCTCACAAAAACCTGATTTTTACCATTGAGCTGTGGGGTGGGGTAACCACTGTAAACACAGCAGGCTTCTCAATTTCCATTGAGAAGTTAAATCTTCCCTTAGAGTTTCAGAGTCTAATCTTGATTTATGACTTTGCCCAAGTGAATCGATTAAGACTCAGACTTGTTTACTTTATGTGGATATGTTTGGGAGCAGCTGTCTGTTTTCAAGTACCTGCAGCAAATGGCGTCACTTTCAGCAGTGCAAGTTTGGTTCACGCAGACCAAGTATAAACCAGTGCAGACAGTGCTGCCATTAACAAGTGCTACCTAAGTAGAACGGAATTTAGAGATCGTTGATTAGTTCCCCAACATCCCTCGGTCTACAAGGTTTCCACAAGAAATTAATCTAGAAAGGAACATGTCTAGATGATCTCTGGATGTCCCTTCCAACCTCAACCATTCTGTGATTCCACGTGAAGATCAAACAATGCAGAAAAACAAAAGGTGTCACCCTGCCTTTTGTTTTGCAGTGTGTTATTATTTAGATCCTAGCATATCTAAACACTGCTCTTTCTTCAGTCACACCCATGAAACGTAATTCCAGGAGTTGGCCGAAAGGTAAGTAAAGGAGTACAGCCCGCCCGTGTGTAATTCAGGGCAGATGAGACCTTTCCCTGCTGTGGTGCCCCTGCACTAGCAGCCACACCAGAGCTCTCGCAGGTGACCTCAGGGTTCTCCCGCGTTGTGCAGCCCGAGCCCATCTCCCGCTCTTCTGTTCACCCCGAAGGTTAGCGGATTGCCGACCCCCGACCTGAGCTGGCAGCTGAACGGCCGGCCCATTCGCCCCGACAGCTCCCACCGGATGCTGGTGCGCGAGAACGGCGTGCACTCCCTCATCATCGAGCCCGTCAGCACCCGCGACGCCGGCATCTACACGTGCGTCGCCAGCAACCGCGCTGGGGAGAACACGTTCAGCCTGGAGCTCGTCGTGGCAGGTAACGGCTTCACCCTGGGCTTCGTGCAGCCTGGGCACGGGAACATGAGAAAGGAAAACTTCAGTGCAGAGAAATGACATGACTGGGAGGTGCGGAATTAAATATATACCTGTGTGTGTGTATATATATATTTTGTTGTTGTTGTTGTTAGTATGTTGCTGAAAGGAGGACTACATTTTCATAGACTAGCGTCACCATTACTGCAATCTTTGTTTTCACAGCTAAGGAAGTGCACAAAGCACCTGTGTTTATAGAGAAGCTACAAAACACCGGCGTGGCGGAGGGCTACCCCGTGCGACTGGAGTGCCGGATCTCCGGGGAGCCGTCTCCTCAGATATTCTGGAAGAAGGAGAATGAGTCACTCACATACAACACTGACCGCGTGAGGTTAGAACGACGTATCTCCCCATATATAACTTCAATGACCATTTATCCTGTAATATAAATGAAAGCCTAGAAGGTCATAAGAATGCGTTGTGTGAACAGCAACTCATAAATATTGACTAGTTGTTATAATACTTCAGGACATTTACTCAAACTTTCTGTCAGACTGGTGACAGAGCCAGAATTAACATATTAGTTCTTTTTTTCCAGTCTTGTATTTAAAATAGTATCTTTGCACCTTAACCAAATTGAGAAATAGTTTTTCTTCTCTTTTAGGGAAATTTTCTGGCAAAAGCCTAGACTAAGTAAAGCCGTCTGCTTTCAGCGGGGGCCTGCATTCAGCACTCCGCTCTGCAGCTAAGCAAGCAGGTTTCACCAATAAGGAGCTTTCTTAGCTGGCACTAGTGGAACATCTGCAGTACTGGTGCCACGGCAAAGCCCCTGCCAAGGAGCAGAGGAGGAGCTGGGCCCCGGCGCCGCCTCCGCCGCTCCCTGGGCTGTCACTGCCGGGGAGCCGGGGGCCCCCCGCCCGCGACTGCTGTGCAAGGGCACGAGCTGCACGGGGAACTCCACCACACACACTAAAACATCGCTCCTTTTTCACCCCCTCTATTGGAACTCCATATAGTGTTATGTATTCAGAAAAAAAGTCGTTAAGATCTACAAACTCGTCATCAGTATTTCATAATATTTGGTAAGAATGTTTAAGAGCAAACTCATGATTTCAAGCAAAGAAATGTATTAATGATTCTGTAATAAATTGTTGCTATCTTTCTAAATAACTAAGACTATTTCAGTACCTCATTCCTCAAGTCAAGCCTTTTATAATTCCCACTAAAAGTCAGGGTAAGGTCTGACTTCCCTACTACTTAAATTGTACTTCTATATTTCAACCATGAAAAAGAGGTTACTAGAAATATTTTTGTTGCTTAGTTTTTAATATATATTAAGCATATTATTAAATTACCAAATATTCAACTCTAGGTTTTATTTTGTATTCTGCTAATTTTAGACCAAGTTTCATATTACTTAAAAGTGGACTATAATTAATCCGTAACTAGGACTAAGTCTGTTTATGTCACTATAAAGTAGTTTATGATGGTTTGCGTTTCCATAGTGATTTGTTTTTCCTCTCTTTAGCATGCACCAGGATAACTACGGCTACATCTGCCTGCTCATCCAGGGCGCTACGAAAGAGGACGCGGGCTGGTACACCGTGTCGGCTAAGAACGAGGCTGGCATCGTGTCCTGCACTGCCAGGCTGGATGTTCACAGTAAGTGACAGCCACTCATGTGGCCGTGTTAATGCCCCCAAAAGCAACAGTTTTAAAATTTTTGGTTTATTCACAGAATGGTTTACGGTGGTCTCTCTTTCTTTTGTTTATAGTTTCTCCTCAATAGTAACGATCCACATCAAGACAACAAATGCTCTGTGTCAAAGTACATTTCGCCACCCTTCAGATGCCTATAGCAAAATGAGCATGCATGGTTTTTATTTTTTGCTTAGTGTATTAAACATAGTGAATTAACAGTAGATAAGGGCATGATTACCTTAATTTGGTGGATCATTATTGCTATTGCCATGCTAGCACTTCACTAACCTTTTGTACTCTTTTGTACCTTAGTCTATAAAACGTCAGAGCTATCAATCAGAAATGCAGTTTTCTTAGGGCTTTCTGCTTAATTAGTCAGTTAACTCCAATTCCGATGCGGTTCCATCTGTAATGAATGTTTTCTTCAACCAAAATTTCCTGCAAGTTCTTTCATGAGAGCAGTAAATGCAGAAGGGAAGCTGAGTGGTACAGGCTGGTTTCTGGGCTGGCAGCAATAGTGGGCCATGTGAGTTACACGTGATGCTCAACGTTCTCTAGGATACAGGAGCTGGCAATGGCAACCAGGTGATGTCTTTCCATATGCAACAAATATCAGGTCTGCCACTGTAGTGTTAGTGCACAGAAACGAGTACCTTGCTGTTCCCCTTTTGAATGACAGAAGGTGGTAGGGTGCACAACTTTGGAAAATAAAACAAAAGGAATGAGGGGAGAAAGCAATCCTGAAGGACGGTAACAGGGAAGCTCTTGTTTGCACTTACCGTGCTTAAAGGGGAAACTAGGTGCAGAGGGGGAGGGAAATATTAAGAAATCAAAAAAGCTCGTTTTGGTTATTGTGCTTTTCTACTAGTACCTTCTTTACAATTGATTGATTGTGCAGCAGGCACACTTTGTTGCAGCCTTCAAGATGGTTGAGTTAATTGTATTCTACTTTTTAAAATCTACAGCTCAGTGGCAGCAACCGCCTCAGACCACCAAGCCAAAGAAGGTGCGGCCCTCAGCCAGTCGATACGCAGCACTTTCTGACCAAGGACTAGACATCAAAGCAGCTTTCCAGCCCGAAGCAAACCCAGTCCACCTGACGATGCCGTCTGGCCTGGTAGAAAGCGATGATCTGTAGGCCCGAGCTGCCACCTCCATCTTTCTTTGAAAGCAGAAACACTGAAAGCCATTGCCTTGACCAATGATACTCCTATGTCACTTTATGCAAAGGCAGACACCTTCAAGTACAAAAGGTAAACAACAAACACAACAACCATATATTCCTTATTCATTATACCAAATTAGAAGACTAGATAGATAATTAATAGAGATGTACACATTGCACAACAAATCACGTTCACCAGTTCCTTATACCTAAGTTGCTTCAGCTCTTATGAATAACCCTCTTCATAAAGGCCAAACTACTACAGTGAGACAGACTTTTCAGAAGAAAACACTATTTATCACTACGTGCCTTCATAAGCAACAAGCAGATGCTACACAGTCATAATGGTGCAAGATTATTTTATTTGAGGCCATTAGATCACAAATGTAGTTCTAAAATGGCAATGCATTCTGATAGCTACAATGAACAAGTGCAATACTGTAGGAATCAAACAAGAAGGGACAAGGAAGAGAAATGTCAGCAAATGCTCTATCTCTGCAAACTGCTTTCTATTCTACAATGAAAAAAATAACCTTAAATGCTGTTCATATGGGCAATCCTATAATGCAACATTGACACCATCTTTTTCTTACTTTTTCTTTTTGCCACCCAATAGGAAGCTTACTTACAAACATACAGCAAAGCTAATTTAAGCATAAATAATGTCACTTCTTCAAGATAAAGAGGAGCAAGAGCTGAGTGTAGTAAGAGTCTACTACAGACTATAAATCTTAGTGCCTACATGGGAAAAATGCCAATATGAACCACTGCATTCAGTTACTGTGGGAGGAGGAAGACAGGGCAAGACAAGGGTGGGACGTGATGGATTTCTTGAAAACATCCTGTAATCCGTAACGCTACCGTGCAAACACCTGCAGTGCCAGGGTCCGCTGAGAACCAGGGAGTTACGTGTGAGACATGGGACTGGTTAGGGATGGTGTGATGTGTGTGAGGATTTTAGAAACGTACCGTAAGTGAGAAATGGGTTGAGACTGCAATATGAGTTTAAACGACAAGCATACACCACAAGTGATAGGTTTGCAGATTGGAGGAAGTAGAGAATGAAGCTGGACTACAACAAAATTAGTGCCTTTTTTTTTTTTTTCCTTCTTAACACAGCACTTGTCTCTGGCAGGTTGTTTTTTCGGTTGTTCTCCTCTCTCTTGTCAGCTACTAACACCTCTTGTATGGGGTAGGGTGTGCGTGCAGTAGGCCCACACCTGCAGGCTACTTTCAGAATGCAAGGCAATCCCACACCGAACTGGAGCCCTGCCTAGTCTAACTCAACTAGGCAGTTTTAAATCAGAACCAAATGAATTTCAGAGGAAGGGGAGGGAGGGATGCAAGAACTAGTAGGCCTGACAAGAAAAATGCGCATTTGATGGTACGAGCATATTTTGCCATGAAAGGAAAACACTGTATTCCTTATATGAAGCACATATATGGTATCTTTCATTATTTATAATAAAAGTGTTGAAATCTTTTATCTCAGTTCAGTTATTCAGAAGTCCTGTACCTAGGAGTTTTTTTAAATTTTGTAATTGTGTACACCATATATTGCATTACCGCTATACGTGTATTGCTTTGTATGTACACAGTTTGTTTTGTTTTTATAGCGACTAATAAACTTTAGCACATAAGGTAGTACTACTCTATGCAAACTGGTGCCAGATCTGCCCAGTTACGGGGATCGCTACTCTAAATTAATGTCATAGTCTGTCATATGGGAATAATCTGATTATCTTCTAGAACAGGATGTCGTATCATTTGCCAAATTTTTCTTGACTGTGACATGCTAATTTACTTTTTGTTTAGCTTCACTAGCATTATTTTGCCACCTTTTATTTGTATTTATAAAAATGTACTATCATTACTTTGGATTGTTGTGCTGATATAATGTGGGTTTAACATCAATAAATATTACACAAAGAGAGTTTTTCTTCTGGTAAAGGCTATTACCTGTTTCAGTACAAGCATGCAAGTGTAAGAGTTAGAAAATGTAAGTATTGTGAACACAGGTGAGACGAGGGCTAGATGAAGATTCTAAAAATGATCACAATTTGTTCGTCACACTACTTCCCTCGTGACAGGGAATCTTGTTTAAGCAAAACAGAGAAATATGACCTGTAAATTGGGAGAACTCTTACAGAGTGAAAGTACCTGAAGATTTTTTTTTTTTTTTTAATAATCTGACATTCCTGGTCCTACTGAAGTCAATGAAATTTCATCTACTTACTTAGAGTAACTCTGTCTTTGGCAGTAACCGATCTCTTGTGAGCTAGTGAAGATGAGGTCATCATCACTTTTTGCCTCTGTATATACGTGCACGCATACACTGGAGTAGTAAATCACATCTCTAAGGAGCAAAGTTGTTTTTATGAAAACATTCAGCTGTGCTGTTACCTAGTTACTGAGGCTGTTTGGGTTTAAAAATTCAGAGATAGAAGTGCAGCACAAGCGAAGGACATAATTTTTAAGCCAAAAACTGAAATTCCTGGAAGCATCAAAGTAACTTTCAGAAGTTTAATCTACCTCCACGAACTCCAAAGATACAGAATATAAACTGCAAGTATACTTGAATCATTTTATAGAACCAGAAAAAGAATCTTTCCACAGGACTTTAGATGTAGCTGTAGGATGACTTTTTAAGTTACTTAGGAAGATTAGCAGTCCATGTATATTCAAAGCAATCCACTATATGATGTAACAGTAATCAGGACAGTAATTAAGTGTAAACAGAACCCTGTCAAGAGTTACGCGCTGAACTCCACACATATTAAGTTGTTTTGTTTTGTTTAGTTGGTTGACTACCTTAACACACCGTAAGCCTTAGTGCAGCAGCAATTAGTTACCATGTACACATTTTGGTACCAGCCAGTTAGAGGCTAAGGACCAGTGTGAAACGGTAGCTCAGAAATGGTAGGTTGTTTCTAGGGCTTCCCTTTTGAAGGCAGTTTTCATTCACTCACTTTGGATGTTAATAAAGGCCCGCTCCGTGCGCGGGGACGGCGCTGCCGGCACGTCACGGTTCCGGGGAGCAGCCGCGGGCTCCGGCTGCCGGCCGAGCAGGACGCCCCAGCGCCGGGTGGAGGAATGCGCAGTGACGGCCACTCCACCACTTCATGATGCTGCTGTACATGGAAGGGGGAGAATCTCCTTGCATTGAACTAGTGCTCCTGAACTGGCTAAAATCAAACAAAAGGAAATGAACCAACCAGCGCGCCCCCATACCTTTTGTTTTCTGTTTGAAATGAGCCATGAGTGCGTGAGGCCCATCAGGCAGATGAAAACACAGCTGTTCCAGACAGGACACACGCGGTTTAACCTGTCTCAGAGTCGGACAATGAGGAGCAGGGCCTGCACAGCAATGATCTCAGCAACTGTAAAGAGGCAACAGAATGAATTTCAACCCAAGAGCTCTAGGAAAGAGATGCCTGTTACAAAATAACTGTACTGCAATAGGTAAACACAGGGAACAGCCAAGTCTTGCAACCGCCTTCACTTTCTAGTTCTGTAGCCGCATCACTGGGCCAGAAACAGCTGCAGAAAAGAGGGAAACAGTAACAGCTCATGGCCACTCCTCAGGCTGGTTACATCACTAGCAGCAGAAGCACTACACAGCTCATCACACTGACTTGGGAGCAGGTTGTTCTCTTTTTTTTTTTTTTCTTTTCCCTCCAGAAACTTTAATAAGCGTTATTTCCAAGCTCTCAGTCAACTTCTAGCCCAGATATCTCAGAGTGCTTCTAAAAGAGGAACTTACTTAGGGCACATCTATTGCCAAGGACACCATGTTTGCAAGCTATTGCAGAAGATGTTATGCCTAACTAATAACATTTCCTATAGCTCTGGTCTGTTGCAGATTAAGCAGTAGTGGATTCTGGAGCAAGGTCTTACCTGCAGTGCATGTTTGAGCCACTGGTGAAGCCTTGGTGGGAAAAAGCTGAAATAAAACACAAGTTGCCACAGTACTCAACAGTCTAATGCTGCTTTCTATTTCTGTCTAACATCCTGCAATACTTCTCAGTCTGATTCACTGAATAGTTTGTAATACTTTTAAGCTACAGTATAACTTTTCCCTTTCTTAAATTCTATTAACTTTAGCTGCACAGTCACTAATCACTTATTACTTCATGTATAATAAATAAAAACCTAAAAAAAAAAAATTATTTCCTCTACCACTACAACTGTGGATAAATCCAAAGCTCTCATGCTGTCACCTGAGGTATGCAACCGAAGCAGTTTTCTCAAGAGTATCTGTATGAAAAGTTCCAGCTCCTGACTTCTACTAGGGAAAAAAAAAAAAAAAAAAAAAAAAAAAGAATTAAAATTGGAAAAAAATGACATCACACTATTAAATAGATTCTATCACTTATTTCCCTCTAATGTTTTGTATACCAAAAAAAAAAAAAAATTAAAAAGCAGTCAAAAAGGCTAACAGCTTGAACATCTCTTAAACAAATTATTATTTTTAAACACTTGTACCCTTCCAAGTTTTTTAAGGGCAGCAAAGTCATTAAAAGACCAACTTCATCACAGCAGAACAAGGTTTTTCATGTGTAATTATTAACCTTTTTTTTGGCGCAATATAAACACATCTGAGGCGAGGCAAAGCCGCGGCAGGGAATGGGCCCTCTGACCTAAGGCGCTTCAGGTCAGCTGCCGCTTCGCAAAGGGGCACGAGCAGCTCTGACGTCGAAGCGCTGCATCCAGGAGCGCGACGTGAGCGAGCGCCCCGGGGAGAGGGAGAGGAGCCCAGACACCTCGTGTGGGTAGAGGCAGGAGGGAACAAATGGTTATTGCTTGTCTTGCTATGGAAGGGGGTCACCAGTGTTTCCACTGCCCTCGCTTAGGAATGCAGATCTTGGCCTGGTTTATTTTGGCTGAAGACAAAGTATTCAGAAGCAAAGTCCCGGTCAGTGTCACTGAACTGGAGCTGGGAGCCAGAGAAGGCTGACAAAAGAGCATGAGTAGATCATTAATGTGCAGTAATATAGCAAAGAAACAGTGCCTATCATCTGCTGAGACTGTTAAAGGAAGGGCAGATCAAGTGAAAGGAGCTCTTTAGAGGCAAACTGAAATGTGGGGTTTTTTTTTGGTTTTGTTTTGTTTTTTGGCAATGCCATTCACAGACAGGTTCAACTATTCTAAATTATTTCTAAACTATTTCTTATAAACAAAATACATCTCACATACATATAAATAATATATTTGATTCTCAGATGGAAGGAATCAACTGCATTAAGAAAGCAGAATAACTGCATTTACCATAGCACACAATAAGCATCACTGAAAGCCAGATTATAGAGACACAGGTATCAGGAAGAAAGACTCCCCACCATGATTTTAACAGAAACAAAGACTTTTTTTGCAGGAAAAAAAAAAAGAAAGAAAAAAAAAGAAAGTAAAAAGAAGAAGGAAAAAAAGAAACATAAAACGCTGCCAGCTTTGCAAAATCGTATCCCCAAATTAAACCTCATTCACCCCATAGTTTCAGATGAATAAACACAGCAGAAATAC